AAAGGAGTCCTTTTGCCCCATTGGGAGGACAGTTAAATTATGAAATTTTAATCTAAGTTGAAATAACGGCTGATTATCGGCTGTTGTCCATAGGACATGCGGTTTTTTAACGCCGTTTTAGGTTTCATGTCAGATCATTCAGGTTAAACAGCTATGAACTAATCCTTATTAAGGAAGTCAATTGGATTGTTTGAGTTTATAGAGCAATGTACCACCCGAATGGGAGATGCTCTCTGCAACGAATTCTCCCGGATGGGCGTCACCGAATGTCTTACTCTTGCAAGAGCAGACGGTTGGTTTAGATTTTGCCGCTTGCATATTGCATAGACGGTACTCCCATAGGGAACATATCTAGTGATGTAAAAGACAATAAAATTAAATTGAAAACAAAAAGCAACTTTCATTAATAAGCTTTTCATTTACAAAGATTTTTATAAGTCTTACTTGTAGTACTTTTTCCAGTTATCTACATTCCAAGTTCTGGCTAGCTTCCTACCGTCTGGTGTTTCCAGGCGGTAGGTGCCGCCTCTTACTTCTTCATAGATTCGGTAGGGACCTTCCTAATTGGGTGTCAACTTGCCTTGCTCGTTTTCCCTATCGGTTGCCTCCATTTTCCTTAACACAAAGTACCCAACTTTTAAGGGTCGTTTGTGTACTCTCTTGTTGTAGGCTCTTGTCATTCTCAGATGGTATATCTCATGACGTTGTTGGGTTTCGTAGTGTCCGACACTACGCGGAATGAAACCCGCCCAAGACCCGCACACTAATCAATGTAACTAAACATGCAATCACATAATCTAACAACAAAAGAGAGAGAAAGAGAAAAGTTGATCTTACCCTTGACGCGTGCTTCGCTCGCTCACGAGCTCTTACTTGAAAGCTCTAGCTTTGCAAGTGCGTAAGCCTCCGACGGCTCGCACCCTCAACCCGACCCAAGCAGTGTCTACCCCGAAGGTTAGTTGGGGTTAAACCAAGGAAATACTAGAGTATTACAAACTTAAAGGTTTTCTCACTTATAAGGAGATGCCTTATTGAGTTTAACTCAAGTGCTTCTTCCCAAACCTAAAACATGGGTATTTATAGGGAAGGGAGTCTTGATTTCCCATTTTCCATCAATGTGGGAGAATTGCATTTTGCTCAATTAATTTTAATCAAAAAACAAATTAAAATGCAAATGAATCAACAAGCACCAAATGGCAAATGGTGAGCAAGGGTAGGTGAGGATCACTAAGGAGGAAGGGGGACCAAACACCACTTACTCCCCAAGCAAGGCACCAACACCGGTCTTCTCATTGACCGGATACTGGCCCACGCACAGCTGGCTGGCCGCCTGCCTAGCACCAAGGCAATGCGGGCTGCTGCTGTGTTGCGTGTGCTATGCGATGTGCGTGTGCTAGGCGATGCCTGGTTTCTCCGATGCTGCGAGTGACTGTGTGCGAGGCCCACCATACTAGCACGCTAGCACGCATGGCGCACCAGCTGCTAGCTTGCTTGCAGCCATGAGCACCAGCCCCGCAAGCATGCTCAGCCAGCAAGCCTAGCACGCATATGTATGCTTGGCTTGCGGCATGCACTTTCGATGCGGTTGGTGGCCTAGGCTAGCCTAGCACTCGCATAGACCAGATATTTATCCTTGTTCCTTTTCAGGTACTTTAGGATATTCTTAGCCGTAATCCAATGCGCCTCTCCTCGGTCTAATTGGTATCGGGTCGTCCACTCAAGGCATACGATACATCCGGCCTAGCACATATCATGACATACATGATTGATCCAATAAGCGAAGCATATAGAATCTAATTCATCCTCTCTCGCTCATCAAGTGTCTGTTGACACTGCTGCTTGCTGAGAGCTATGCCATGTTACATGGGTAGGTGCCCTCTTTTGGCCCCTTCCATGTTGAATCGTGCCAGTACCTTATCAATATAAGTACTTTGGCTCAATCCAATAATCCTTTTAGATATATCTCGATAGATCTTGATGCCCAATATGTACTGTGCCTCTCCCAAGTCCTTCATTGAAAAGCATTTCCCAAGCCAAGTCATTATAGACTCCAACATTTGAATGTTGTTTCCAATGAGCAATATGTCATCGACATATAAGACGAGGAATGCGATGTCACTCCCACTGAACTACTTGTAAACACAAGACTCATCTGGATTCTTGATAAAACCAAACTTACTAATGGGTTCATCGAATCGCAGATTCCAACTTCTGCTTGCTTGCTTTAGTCCATAAATGGACTTCTCAAGCTTGCATACCTTCCCAGCATTGCTTGAATCAACAAAACCTTCCGGCTGTGTCATGTACATAGTTTCTTCCAAAAGAAAATGGCTTAGGATCCGGCGGATCGAGCCTCATGCATTCAATCATGCCAACTTGATCATTGCAATGGTAGAGCTTCAAACGGTGGCCGTTAACCATGAACTTGTTCCCCTCCGCTTCCAACTCAAAAGACCCGTAAGGAGTAGTCCTTGTAATTGTGAAGGGCCCCGACCACTTGGATTTTAGCTTTTTGGGAAACAACCGAAGCCTAGAGTTGAACAACAACACCTTGTCTCCAACCTTGAAGCTCTTGTTCCTTATATGTCGGTCGTGCCATCTCTTAGTCCTCTCCTTTTAGAGCCTCGAGTTCTCGTAAGCATCATACCGGAGCTCCTCAAGTTCATTGAGCTTAAGCAATCTTTTCTCACCCGCCAAGGACATGTCCATGTTGAGCTCTTTGATCGCCCACCAAGCCTTGTATTCCAACTCAACCGGCAAGTGACAAGCCTTCCCATAGACCAACCGGTAGGGGGTCGTGCCAATGGGGGTTTTGTATGCCGTCCTTAGAGCCCAAAGCGTGTCATCGAGCTTGAGAGACCAATCTTTTCTAGACTTGTTCACCATCCTCTCAAGAAGGTTTTTGATCTCTCTATTGGACACTTACACTTGTCCTTTAGTTTGAGGGTGGTAAGGGAGACCAACCTTGTGATGAACCCCGTACCTTTTGAGGAGAGCTTCGAATTTCTTCTTGGCAAAATGAGAACCACCATCGCTGATTAGCACTCTAGGAACCCCAAACCGTGGAAATATGACTTTTTTGAGAAGCTTGAGCACCACTTTATGGTCATTGGTGGGGGATGGTATAGCTTCAATCCACTTGGTCACATAGTCCACCGCCACCAAGATATAAAGATTTCCACAAGAAGAGACAAAAGGCCCCATGAAGTCGACACCCCAAACATCGAATGGCTCGACCTCCAAAATGTTTTGTTGAGGCATTTCATCCCTTTTGGTTATGCCACCACTTCTTTGGCATTTTTCACACCGTGAAACGAATTTTTGGGCATCCTTATTATCAAAAGGAAGCCTAGAAAGTTATCCGCTACATAGTTCTTCGCTCCCTTTTTATCCCTAATCTCAATATCAAAATCTTGTAGCGAAAGAACCAAACGGATAAGACGCGGTTTTGCTTCCTTTTTGGTCATGAGATAACGAACCGCTACATGATCCGTGTACACGATCACCTTTGAGCATATGAGGTAAGACCGAAACTTATCTATGGCGAAGACAACCGCTAGCATTTCCTTTTTCGTTGTGGTATAATTCCTTTGAGCTTCGTCAAGTGTTCTACTTGCATAGTAGATGACATAGGATCGACCTTCCTTCTTTTGTCCAAGCACGACACCTACTACAAGATCACTAGCATCACACATTAGTTCAAAGGGCAAGCTCCAATCCGAAGCTTGCACAATGGGAGAGGAGATGAGGGCTTCCTTGAGCTTTTGGAATGCCTCAAGGCAAGCCTCATCAAAATTGAACATAACATCCTTTTTGAGTAACTCGGTTAAGAGTTTGGTGATTGATGAAATTTTTTTGATAAACCTCCGGTAAAAACCGGCATGCCCTAGAAAAGCTCTCACTCCCATAACGGAGGTAGGAGGGGGCAACTTAGCAATCACCGAAACCTTAGCCGAGTCAACTTCAATGCCATTTTTTGATACTTTATGGCCTAGGACAATACCTTCCTCGACCATAAAATGGCATTTTTCCAAATTCAACACTAAACTCGTCTTTTAAAAACTTTTTCAAGGTTAATAAGACATGTGTCAAAAGACGAGCCACCAACACTAAAATCATCCATAAAAACTTCAATCTTATTCTCAAGCATTTCAGAAAAAATGGAAGTCATGCATCGTTGGAAAGTTGAGGGAGCATTGCATAACCCGAATGGCATTCTTCGGTATGCAAATGTCCCATATGGACATGTAAAAGTAGTTTTCTCTTGATCACTTGGATGGATAGGAATTTGGACAAAGCCGGAATATCCATCCAAGAAGAAAAAGAAAGCGTGATGGGAGAGTCTCTCCAACATTTGGTCCATGAAGGGGAGAGGAAAATGATCTTTCTTAGTGTTTTTGTTCAACTTCCTATAGTAAATGCACATCCTCCACCCGGTCACCGTCCGGGTGGAGATTTCCTCTCCTCCTTCTCCCTTGACAATGGTCATTCCACCCTTTCTTGGAACCACGTGAACCGGGCTAACCCACTTGCTATCGGAGATAGCATAGATTATACCCGCTTCACACAATTTAAAAATTTCTTTCTTGACAACCTCTTGGAGGTTAGGGTTCAACCTCCTTTGAGGCTCAATGGAGGTGGATTGATCATCCTCAAGGTGAATACGATGCATGCATAAAGAAGGGCTAATACCCTTGATATCATCAATGCTATACCCTATCACATTTCTAGAATGTCTTTCTAGAACTTGGAGTATGAAGGCATTTGTGTGACTACCTCAATGAAAGGGAGGTTAATGTGTAAGTTCTTCATCACACTTAGGAACCTTACGAATTTGTCATTCAATTTTCTCTCCGCAAGTCGACCGGGAAAAGGAACCGATCCATCAAGATTTCTAGCCTCACTAGAAGTTGAGGATGTCACAACATCCTTAGACTTCTTTTTCTCGATACTCCTCTCTTCCTCATCAACCTTCTCTTCTTCAACTTCTTTATCTTCACTCACCCTCTCTTCTCCTTCTTTTCTTTGCCATCTCCCTCCTTGGGACCTTCATAGGATGTGCTCAATCTCAATGTGATTGCCTTGCAAGAGTCGGGTTTCACGATGTTAGAAGGGTTGGTTTGTGATTGTTCGGGTAAAGTAGAAGATGAGTTGAAAGGAACCCTCTCGGCCAATTGAGCTAGTTGTGAATCAACCATCTTGTTGTGAGCCTTGACCTCTTGCATTTTTTGATTCATGGCTTGAAGTTGTTGAAGAATTTGGGTTTGATTAGAATTGGGTTGAGATGTTTGCTCTTGACTCCTTTGAGTCGTTTGACTTTGATTGTGGTATTGGTGTTGATTATTGTGTTGGTTGTTTCTTGCATAGTTTCCTCTTTGGTTTTGGGTTTGGAATGGAGATGGGTTTTGATATTGGATGTTGGAGTTGTATGGTTGTTGAGCTTGTTGATTCCATTGTTGAGGTTGGGTTGCGAATCCGGGTGGTGGTTGTCTCCAAGCTACTCCACCGCCACCTCCCCTATATTCATCTTGCCTTGTGTTATAAGCCGCTATATGCTCCGGGCTCAAACCTCCACAATAAGATCTATCGTGGTTGGTGCCACCACAATTTTGACAAGAGAAAGAGTTGAATCGGGAGGAGCTTGCACCACTAGTGATATTGGTGTTCAACTTTGCGAGCCCCTTTGTCAAAAGCTCAATTTGATGTTGCAATTGATCAACTTTTTCCAACTCATACTTCCCACCTTTCTTTGGCGCATTCCTCCTTCTACCTCCCCAAGAGTAGTTTTTGACTACCTCTTCAATTGTTGCTTCAACTTCATTTTGAGGGACTTTGATCAATTGTCCACCCACCTCCGCATCCAAATTAGCTCGAGACATCGGTTCCAAACCATCATAGAAGAACCTCATGAGTAAGCTTTGATTGTATTCATGGTGAGGACATGCTTGCACCAACTCTTTAAACCTCTCCCAAGCTTCACTAAGGCTTTCCTCCGTCTCTTGTTCAAAAGATGCAATCTTCCTCCTCATGTCGGCGGTTTTCTCTTCGGAGATGAACCTTTTCAAGAATGCTTGGACAATTTCTCTCCATGTTGTGAGAGAATTAGGCTTGACTTGCTTGAGCCACTTCTTTGCTCTCCCCGCAAGAGATTGCCGGAATAGATGCATCCGAATGTATTCTTGAGAAACTTGGTTGGTTTGTATCATGGCACAAAGTTCAAGAAATCTATCAAGATGCTTAATGGGGTCTTCACTTGGCGAACCTGAGAATTGCTCCGCTTGAACCATTCGAGTGTATTGAAGATGGATGGTGAAATTAGTTTCTGTGACGGGTAGCAATATCCCACCGGTGAGCTCATAATCCTCCGGATTACCGAACTCACGAAATAAAACATCTGCTTGTTGTCCTGCCATTTCGTCACCTTGGGAATGTGAGGACCAAGAATCACTTTCAGTATAAAAAATGGCACCAAAAACCTCGCCCCTCTTCTTGATAAAGTCTACGGACTTGTCTCAAGGTGCGGTCGATTTCGTGATCAATGTTGTGAGTAGGTGGTCCTTGAGATCTTCTTTGCATTCACCAAAGCTAAGAAAACAATTAACAATGACTAGCAAGTGGAAAAAGAACAATACAAAAAGCAACAAATCCACTAATAACACAAATTAAAAGTGCAAAACAAGCCGTCTCCCCGGCAACGGCGCCAAAATTTTGATCGTTGGACAATAGGTCGTTAGTTTACTACCCTAGATCAAAATTACAATTTATATCTCCTAACCTATCTCTATCAAAATTTCTTTAGATAGTGGTAAGTTAGGGTCGATTCCCAAGGAAACGGGGGTTTAGCACAATTAATATGGTATCTAGGATAAATTGCTAGTAACAAAGAGAGTGTTGAGATATAGTTGTGAGAAATCCTACAGACAAACTATCAACTAATGAGTCAAGTATAAACTAAAAACAAGGGATAAGAAAGGTCACTTCTATATGCGAGTAAAAGGATTGAGATAAAGAGATAACAATGGCAAAAGCACTAGGGAGAGGGGGATTCAATCATGAACAAGGAATACTAATGAAAATCGATAAGGAACCAATTCTAGGAGTATAAACTCTACCTAAGATAGTTCATACTCATGAAACTACTCAAGCAAGTCGATGAAATCATTCACACCTAGATTAAATCATTCTCATGCATTCAACCAAGGGCTAGACTCTTGGGATCAGAGGTGCACACACTAACTCCAAGCATATTTTAGCTCAAATCATCAACTCAAAAATAAATCCCAATCAATAATCAATAGATAATCAAATACACATGATTTTCACCCCCTTCCCTAGCTAAAAACCTAAGCTAGAAGAAAGGGAATAGCCATGACAACTAACATAAGCATATATTCGAAATCAACACAACCTAACGATTCTAACTTGAAAGGAAATCAAAGTAAATAATAAAGCTTGAATATTTATGAAAGAAAACTCAAGTAAGAACAATAAAACAAAGAAAACCAAAAACTAGAGAAACAAAAGTAAAGATTGATATTATAAAGATGAAAGATTACCAAATCATCAAAGTAGTAGCAACAATCTAGAAGAAAGCTTGAATATTTGATTACAAAGATTGATTCTTGAAGACTAGTGTTTTCTCTTTCTAGAAGACATGGATATTCTCTCTCTACTAATGATTTTAAGCCAATGGAATAGTAAATTAATGAAAAACTCAAGCTAAAGACTATTTATAGTCTTCTACCAAAATGAAGAAAAAGGGCAAGGGAGAGGGCTCTCCGAACAGGCTGCCGCGCCCTCTCCAAGCTGGGTAATAAGCTCGTCAAACCCAGATTGCCGCGCCCGCGGGTCTTCTCTACCGCGCCCGCGGCTCGCCATCTCCACTTTCTCTTGTTGGCATCAGGGCCTCCCTGTCCGCGCCCGCGGCTATAAAGCCCGCGCCCGTGACTAAGCTTATTAGCGCGCCCTCTCCATTTTGGCATCTCGACTTCCTTGGCAAGCTTCTTTAGCATCTCCACTCAAGCTAGTAATCCATGATTTGCCCACGAGTGCGAGGAGCTATCAAAACACACGAAAAGGAGGTAAAAACTAAAAGAAAAGACGAAAGGGGAAGGGAAAACATGAGAAGGAGCCAAAATGACTAAAATAGAGATAAAAGAGGTGAAAAGAGGCATAAACGAGTGACAAATCTGGGGGAAATCTCTAATGAAAGAGGGTAAAAAGGTGGCATAAATGCCACACATCACTTATCTGGATTCTTGATAAAACCAAACTTACTAATGGCTTCATCGAATCGCAGATTCCTACTTCTGCTTGCCTGCTTTAGTCCATAAATGGACTTCTTAAGCTTGCATAACTTCCCAGCATTGCTTGGATCAACAAAATCTTCTGGCTGTGTCATATACACATTTTCTTCCAAAATCCCATTAAGGAAGGCGGTTTTGACATCCATTTGCCATATTTCGTAATCGTAATATGCAGCAATCGCTAGGATGATCTGGACGGACTTAAGAATTCAACTGGTGAAAAGGTTTCATCATAATCAACTCCGTTAATTTGCCTGCAATCTTTTTCCACCAGTCTAGCTTTGTATATAGATACATTTCCATCTTTGTCTGTTTTCAATTTGAAAATCCATTTACAACCGATAGGTGTATAACCTTCGGGCAAATTAACCAAGTCCCAGACTTGATTTTCAGACATGGAGTCCATCTCGGATTTCATGGCCTCTTGCCATTTAGCAGAGTCGGGGCTCGTCATAACTTGTTTGTATGTCGCTGGCTCATCTCCATCCATAACTAGGATGTCTTGATCTTCGGTTAAGATAGTACCAAGGTATCTCTCTGGTTAAGATCTTGGCCGTTGCGACCTACACAGGGTAATAGGTTGAGCATTTGCATTGTCGGTTCGAATTAGACCAATGTCAACAGCTGCTTCTAAAGCACTTTGATTGTCAGTTTTGTCATGTTGACTTTGTTGCTCTACCTCTTCGATTTTCCTCTCACTTGTCATTTTGGAATGGTGTTCCTTCTCCAAAAAGACACCATCACGAGCAACAAACACTTTGTTCTTGGATTATTGTAGAAGTAATACCCCTTGGTTTCTTTTGGGTAGCCCACAAAGAAACACTTGTCTGATTTTGGGTGAAGTTTGTCAGAAATTAATCTCTTGACATATACTTCGCAACCCCAAATCTTAAGAAAAGACAACCTCGGAGGTTTCTTCGTCCATAATTCATATGGAGTCTTTTCGACAGCTTTTGACGGAGCACGGTTCAGTTTTAGTGCCCCAGTTAGAAGTGCGTGTCCCTAGAAAGAGATAGGAAGTTTACTAAGACCCATCATTGATCAAACCATTCTAACAAGGTTAGATTCCTCTATTTGGATACTCCGTTCCATTGTGGAGTTTTGGGAGGTGTCAACTCTTAAAGAATACCATTTTATTTCAAGTGACCGTCGAATTCATGGCTCAAATACTCGCCACCTCAATCCGATCGAAGTGCTTTTATTTTCTTGCTAAGTTGATTTTCGACTTCACTATGAAATTCTTTGAATTTATCAAAAGATTCAAATTTGTTCGACATAAGGTAGACATAACCATATCTACTGTAGTCGTCGGTGAAGGTAATGAAATATCGACAACCTTGCCTTGCGGGTGTACTCATTGGTCCACATACATCCATATGTATTAGACCCAATAAGTCACTTGCCCTTTCTCCCAACTTGGAGAATGGCTGCTTTATCATCTTGCCTAATAGATATCCTTCGTAATTTTCAAACAACTCCAAGTCGAATGAGTCAAGAACACCTTCTTGAAGAAGTTTCTTGATGCGTTTGACGTTAATATGGCCAAGACGACAATGCCACAAGTAGGTTTGATTCGACTCGATGGTCTTAGCCCTTTTGGCGGTATCATTAATGTTATAAACTTGTTTGTCTATAAAGACCATTTTCTGAATATGCCTTACCATATAAAACATTATCGAAATAAAATGAATAACTATTGTTCTTAATTCGAAATTAAAAACCTTTGGCGTCCAACGCCGAAATTGAAATAATGTTTTTGGTAACTCTAGGAACATGATAACAATTGTCAAGTTCTAGAACAAGCCTAGAGGGCAAGGACAAACTGAGAATTCCAACGGATACGACATACATCCTTGCTCCATTGCTGACCTGAAGCTCGAACTCTCCCTTCTCTAGCCTCCTATTTATCCTTAGTCCCTGAGCATTGGAACAAAGGTTGGAGCCACATCCGATATATAATACCCATGATATTTTGCTAGCGAAGTTTAAGTCTATAACAAAAATACCTGATGAAGAAGAAACGGTGCCGTTCTTCTTATCTTCCTTGAATTTGAGGCAATCGCGCTTCCAATGTCCCTTCTTCTTGCAATAGAAACATTCGGAATCGGATTTAGAAGAGGCTACCTTCTTGTCCTTGCCACTCTTAGCAGCACTTGACTTAGGCGGAAAGTTCTTCTTCTTTTTCCCTTTAAAGCTTCTCTTCTTGCCCGAGCTCTTAAATGGCTTGCCCTTTCTCACCATGAGCATGTCATGCTTTCCCTCATCTTTGAGGGTTTGCTCGGCCTGCTTCAACATACCATGAATCTCGGTGAGAGTTTTCTCCATGCTGTGCATATTATAGTTCATCTTGAACTGATCATAGCCTTTGTGCAGCAAGTGGAGAATGATTTCAATTGCCATCTCGGTCGAATACCCAACATCGAGCCTTTACATGTTCTCAAATAATCCAATCATTTTAAGAACATGCGGGCTGACTGGCTCTCCTTTCTTGAGCTTGCTCTCAAGGATCTGCCTGTGGGTTTCGAACCTTTCAGTTCGGGCCTGCTCTTGAATCATATTATGAAGTTCAGAAATGATCTTAAAAGCCGTCTCCTTTTCAAAGAAAGTATTTTGAAGGTTTGGAGACATAGTGGCCAACATGATGCACTTGACATCCCGATTGGCACTTTGCCATCGGTTAAGGGCAGCCTGAGTGACCTCCTCATTGGGAGTGTCAGGAATTTCCTCATCAAGGACGTATTCCTTTTGTTCTTGCATGAGAACAATACGCAAATTGCTTTGCAAATCAAGAAAATTTGGCCCACTCAACTTCTCCTTGTCGAGAATTGAGCGTAATGAAAACTGGTTGTTTGAGTTACTTGCAGACATGTTTCTACAATTGAAAGAATCTGAAATGAAAAACCATTCATAAACCAATAAGTTTGAAATTTAACGCATTCATGCAAATTTATCTTATTGAGCATTTTATCCACGCATTAACATTAGTCCCTTTGAGGCGAGAATAAAATGATTACAAGATCCCAAAAATCAAACAGTGATTAAGCATGGTTTGGCTTGTCTTAATACTTAATATTTTAGGGTAAGCAATCCAATTGCTAATAGCTCCA